AATGTTTTTCTTTCTTTGGTGAAGAAACAGAAAAACACCTCATAACCTGAATTATCTTCCACATTCTCAAATGAAAAATCTTAATATTTTCAACAACAGGTTTAAAATCAAAACAATCTTCCTTACAAATCGCTTTATGTTGTTTCAGTCCTTCTGCAGAATTCTATAGGACACGGTAACTTACAAATCAGCCATCGTAGTGCACACCGCTCCTCAATAACCTACTTCGCTGCCATGCCTACCTATTCCTACAAGAAAATTTACTATGGAACTAACAAAAGAGAATAGAGACACTCCATGAAATACAACATCTGTCTCTCTGCAAGCAACAGCTGCAAGACAAGGGCTTTGATTTAACTGTTTAAAGCAGCCATTCAGGGGAAGACCATTTTAACGACTGCTGGGCTTGCATCTCTCTGCAACTCTGCAGTTTCAAGTTACCCTTGCACTTTGTCTGTTCAGCTTTTGATTCAGGAACAACGAAAAGTATTGTTTAGTACAAATACCTAAGCCAAAAAAAAGGAAAAAAAAAAAAGAAAAAGAAAAAAAGAAACTCACATGAGTTTTCCCACCTTCTCCCCCTGGCTTTAACCTTTGGCAAGTTTTACTCCCTCCTCACCCCAGCTGCTCTTTGAACTGGCAGGCAGAGCCAGTTTTCAGTATGTCCAGCCCTGCCACGGTTCAGAAATCTGCTTCTCAGCCCTTTCTGAAACACTTGTTCCAATACTGTAAAGAGTAATTTTTGAAGGAGTATCATTTAAAGGCCTGCCTCCAAAAGCCCTGCAAGTATCTGAATAATAAAACTGGCAACGATGTTTGCGAGATATTTACAATTGTAACTGAGATAACTGATGAACAGAAAAGACGAAAAAAGCACACGACCCTTTCCAGTATGAACGGGTATGTGCAGCAAAACCCAGAGGACACCTGGCTATAAACCTGCCATTTGTATCTTACAAATCCATCCAACCATTTCACCTCCTGTGAACTGAAAGCTCTAATAAACAGCAAGAGGAAAAACACCCTAATTCATGAAGGAACTAAAATGAAGGGTAGACAGCCGTTTTTAGGTTAAAGGTTTCCAGCCTCTAACACTCATTTCAAAAAACAAAGTAAGACAAATTTCAAATACTAGGTATTTAGTCTCCTTTACTCGAGACACTGCCTTTAGGCAGTTGAAGCAAAACACAGAGCTCTCTTGCTTCACGAACTGCAATGAAAAGCAGGTCTAGCAGGCTGCTTGTCAAATTGACATTCTGTCTCTCTCTCACATAAGGAAATACCTAAGTCATCAGCATACAGCATTCCAGGGATATCTCCTTCCTCCAAAAGACTCACACAGATGAGCTCCTTACTGTTCCTGAAAATTTCTCCACTAGATAATCATGCCTACTGCACATTGTAAGTCAAAAATACAACGAATGTGCTGATCCCCTCCGGCAGCTGCAGAGTTGTATCAGAAGCTATGCATGTGCTTTTGCTCACACACTCAAATCTTCTACACCCATATACACAAACCTGACCTGCAACATGGTAACAGTTCCGGTTATGTAGTCCTACACAGCACTTCCTAAAGGCTAATAAAAACTGTTTGTTTTTTCTTAAATGGCCTGCTGCCGTTACAGTCTGAATTACTACCTCACGAATGAAAAGATATTATGATAAAACTAATGAGAATGCATATGCACAGAGAATAGACACTCAAGTCTGAGCATAGGCTTCCTGCATGCCTAAAATTTTCCCTTACGAGAGTCTAGCAGGCAACACCTTGTCTACCAAAATTTTCCTTATCCGTATCCTTAGATCACCATAGCTACCACAACATTCACACCAAATTTGGCAATGATTAGGGGACACATTTCAGTAGCATTTGAAATTTGTGAGAAACATGGACAAGTATCACAAGTATCACACACTTCCCCCTCCCCTCCCCATGCACGACACACATATATGCAGATGTGTTTATATACAGCAAACACAACAAAAGACTCTGTATATACACTTGGATACTGCTATGCTATACAAAAATTGTACACAGTCATATTGCAGCCACCCATTAGGCATCCTACTACATGTTCTAGGCAAAATGAAAAAACACCTACCCTGTCAATGTGTTTTTAAATTCATTGTTTTATACCTGTAGACCTTATAACTTTGCCTGTGCATCAACTCCAAAGTTCTACTTAAAACCACACGGAAAAAAAAAGACTAAGAAGTGCATACCTTGATCCTTAAAAGTCTGTGCAATGACAATGCCATCTTCTGGAAACTTTGCAATACTGCATCCTGATGCATAATTCACTGAAAGACATCACAAAATTGCAGTTTAGAGTAAAAGTGACACTCCCTCCTTCCCCACCGTATTTCATAGGTGTTAAAACAAGCAGAGACAAAACCATTCCCAGGAACATTGCTCTGAATGTGCATATTTTGACCAATATGTGTACTCACAGAGAAGGCATTTCTAAGCACAGCTTTCGCAGGTCCACCTTTACATACTGCTTTCAAATCTTTCTATTTAGGAGACTGACATTATCTTTTTTGAACTGAAAAGCTTAATCAAATGCCATGAGAAACACAGTATTCAAACTAACATCATTATTTATACTACAGAGAACCCATCTCCTTCGACCAACGCTGGTGAGCATATGGAGCCCTCAACACTCATGCCTTCTCTTTTCATGTACACTTTCCAAATGAACCAGTCAGAAGACAGAGATTTGTAAAGAAAGCATGAAGACATCAAGCGACTTGGTCAAATAAAAAGAAAGACTGCCTAGACATAGAAAGTCAGAAAACAGTAAGCTCACAGACCTGTTGCCTAACCACAAAGTTTGAACTTGAAACGAAACATATTAATTTCAGGGGGAATACTTCAAATGATTACAAAACCCACGAATTTACAAAACACCTCAGGATGTTGTGATGCATGTCTAATCAGCATATTGCAAAGAAGAAGTCCCTAGCAATTTTCTTCCTCCAAAATTTCAAATCTCCACGTAATTGCAAAATTAAAACGAAAGACTTCATCTTAGCAACTAATATTTACAGTCCAGATAAATACAGACACACCCCAGCAATACCGTTCAAGGTATCAGCACCTGGAATGCAAGCCTAAACTGAGGACATGCATTATCTGGTCTGAAAATTTTTCACATACAGTCTATGAAGGAAGTAATCGTTCAAGCATGTTTATGAGACTCTTTTCACTGAATTTGAGTGGTTCCCTTGACTCCTGTTCAATCTCATTCTCACAGAAAACTGTTTTCCAAACAACACACTGCAGCCTGTGTAGGCAATAGACTCCAGTACTCACTTTCATGATTTGCCATGGTAAAATCGCCTTCATACAGCCCATCACTAAAGGCCATATTCCAGACAGAAAGCAGATCATTAAGAGCTGGTATATTAGCACCTCCAGTATCAGGCATCCACCACTGTCTGTAAAAATTACAGCATAACACAGTTTATTAGTATACAGAATATACTGCTAGAGTTTTTATAATGAAAAGTCAGGTGTCTTCCTGCATGCAGACTTTTTCAGTCACTTTAATGAACTATATCTCAAAGCCTTATTTATCTCCAGGGGCATGTGAGCAGCTGTCACTCTGACACCAATGCTTCTGAGCAAAACTTAAGTAATATTAATGTAAAGTTCTCCATGCATTTCTGTTCTACAGAAAACTTCAATTTGCTAGAAAGAAATTCAGTCTTACGCTCTTTGGCTAAGATGAGGCAAAAATTATGGTCATGTCATTTGCTTCTCATTTTTCTAATGAAGCAAAATGTTACTTGCTCACAAACTGCAAAATAGATCTTTCGAGCTTAACTGTAGCACAAAACCAGCTGACAACAAAGGTAACTATGAGAGTCTGTATCACCATTAGCGATATTAGTGTATTTTCTCTTCATAAAATACGCTGGAATGATTTCAATAACAGGTGCACAACCTGGCAATTCTGTTTGCAACCCACATTTTCTTTCTATTCTGCTCCGCAAAAGTGAAAACTTACTCATTTTTCTTTGTTTGTCAGTCTCCAATTTCTTACTACTTTTCATTGTTCTTCTGGGCTTTAAAAGAAGCTTACATTACCAAGGGGGCCTTTGCAACCATGATTAAATAAGTAGTTGTTCTCCTTAAGCTGATCTTAATGTCAATTTTGCTCTTCAGGTAGTCCCTTCTTAGAGGTAGCATGCAAGCACTAAAGTACAGCATATCACATTTGGGATTTTAAGGGTAATACGTGAATAAAATGTCAATTCTATGTAATTTTATTTCCCAAAGAACTGAAACAAATCAGTACCTTGTGTTTTCATCATAAAACTTGACTTTTCTCATCACAGACGTGTTGTACCAGTCACTAAACACTATAAGTGAAAGTCCATTATCCACATCCCTCCTCAGCTTGGTGATCTCTTCAGGAAAATACTCTTCCTCACTGTCCACCATCAGTAAAGTCCCTGTGTGTAAAAGCAAACACAAGAGTTGACCAGGTTGTTCATCGTAATGTTATCACTATTCACCTAACCAATGCAAAAGCCAACACAACCGCACATTTTGCACAATATCTGGCCCACATGCCCTGCTCTGGCAGCTCACCTAAATAAGTCACATTTAAAGATGTGAAATATCAAGACAATTCAGTTTACAAAGTATCCAAAGATTACTCTGGCAGCATAGTATGCTTTTTAAGGGTGTTATTTACGACTCGTTCTTGTGTGGTCTCATGAACTGAATGCCTGCATATGTCAGGGTATATTTTGTGGTTTGGTCTCACCCAAGTCCTCTATAAACCGAGCCAAACTCCGGCAGAAGAGGACAATCAGGAGATTCACTGCTGACCCAAACTGAAGTGATACTGTAGATGCGCCCTAGTCAGAAGGCTTTTCACTGTTCCAATCCTAATCACTATGCAGATTTGCAGTCATGTACACAACAATTATTCTGAAACTTGGTTTGATTCAACCTTGAAAACTAAAGCTGCGTTTTAGCAGACCTGACTGAAGTGCCATTGCCACTTGCCACTTCATATAACCTGCTCCCACTTCTGTGAAAAAGCAAGCACAACGTTCTCTGTGTCACTGAAAAACACAACTAAAAAATATGCTTTTATTCCCTGAAAATACGTTTATGCTTTTAGATTGCTTCTAAATATCAAGTTATTTTGCTTCTTCACATTCCAACCGCCCAGAGAGGTGGTGGAATTTCCATCCTCAGAGACAACACAAATCTCATGAGGATGATACCCTGAGCAATCTGATCAAGCGCTGATGCTCGCCCAGCGTCTCACAGTCCCTGGCAACCAGGCCAATTTTACCAGTCCAGGCAGTCTGTGTTTGGAAAGCCTTCTGCTAAACATCCTGTAGAAATCACATTAACAACACTGACATTGGAACAGAGTGCTTATGCTTACCATACTGACTTGCATCAAAACATGTAAATGGGGAACCAAGAACCTCAACAAAGTACCCCATGCTCCTTAGGTGCTGGTACATGTCCCTGAAGTTTGTGTGGATATGGTCACCATTCCTTAGGAAAAGAGAGAAGTGTTGAAGACATTTAAATCTAGCATGCAGAAATCTGATTTAAATCCTCTAATTACAGATTACTTCCTAGCTTCCTTTATAAAAGGTCATTTTTTTTTCAAAAGATAACCTGTAGTTTTCCAAACACCATCTCCTCTTTGCAAAATTCTTCACAAATGGCACTGGTTCTGAGTGCTACAAAGAAGAGTTAGTTATATGGTCAAAGCTAGAGATTGAACATGTTCCTTACAAAGCACAATTCTACATGTTCGTATCACACCACAGAGCAATACTGCTGCATTAAAACCTCCTCGCAGAAGAGCCAGTAAGAGCAGTTTTAACTACCAACTGGAAGAAGCACACAGGATCCCTTGTAAGTAACTGCTGAAACTCAGCAGAGATTTCCTGTCCGTTTGCTACATCTGCATGCTCAGAGTAGCTTTCCAAAAGCCTATGTCTTGGTCACTGACCCAATTTATCCTCACTTGTACATCGTTGCACGATTCTTCCTATGGATGGTTCCCCCTCCAACTAGGAAAGACAACAGGTCAGCTGAGCTTTGCCCTGCTTCAAATACAGTCTCCCTCAACAGACAAGGGCTTTCTTCTTTAGGATTCAGTCTTTCAAATTTCTTACGGTTTTTTTTAGTAAGTGAATGCTGAAGCAGCTGATAAAAGTGCCATCCTTAACTTCCGGGGAGCAATTAGAGCAGAAAAGAAAAATGCTGCACTTTGAAAGCCAAACAAAAATCTCAGAGTCTTAAACATGCATTTTAAAAGCTCTTCATTTCATGTGAATAAAATCCCAGAGCACAAAAAAAATCCCGCACCAAAAGCACACAGAGTCCAAGCGCTTTTCATGGCTTTCTTAGAAAAGATAATCCCATGCCACACTGAAAAAGGCCAGAGCTCTCTGGCTTTCAGTAAAGTGATCCCGTATCATTAACACACAATCAAGAAATAGTGATTTAATAGAACCTGAGATAAATACCAATCTAACGGATCATTCTTCATCCTCAAATTATCCCTGGGGAAGTATCCTGGTGGATAACGGAGATTATGATATTGATCCCAAAGGACTCGCTTACTACGAGGTGGAGTAGGAATAATCTTCACTTTTATTGGAAGCTTCACCGTTGAAGTCTGCTCTGCACCATTCTTAGACTGAAGGACAGAATAAACTACAGTGAAATCCTTTTTCCCCACAGAACATTCACCAGTTAACTGTGGATTGTAAAAGATCAAAAAACGGAGGTAGCAAATCTACTTTTAGTCACCAGTACCAGCTCTGGAGACAAAGAGATTATTTTTGCCTTAAATCACCATAGTATTTTTTTCTGCATTCAACACTTTATATTTATGCTCAGAATATAGTTCAAAACCTTAAAAACTTCTCAGGAAAAATTAATCATGGTTCTGGAAGAAATATATTTAAGTAATCTTAATCTCTTTTTTAAAAACACATTACTTAGAATTCACAGTAAACAAATTAAATTATTAAGTTGGTCTCAAAGAGAGGTTGCCTGATTCTAAAGCATATCCAATTCGCAGGTTAATCCTCTCAACTATAAAGATCATTATTTGTATTTCCTGACCCCAGTCTAATTCCCGCTTCAAATCACAGGACCAGAGTAATCCCCAAAAAAGAATGTATTTGTATATGGGGAAGCAGTTTTAATAATTATTAACACAGAAAAACCACAATGCACAGAACTTACTTCATTTTCTGCAGGGGATGATATTGTGATCATAACATGACCCTGAGCTACTCCTTCCCAAGATGCTGCTTTCTTTGCTACAGAGATGGAAATTGCTAAGTATCCAGACCAAGGCCACAACACAGGGGAATAAGAGAAAGCCACTTCGATATTATCCCCATTTTGGGGGAGATAGGGTTGCCAGTCTGGCTGTGAAACGAAGAATACAGAACATTGGTAAAACAGTATCTGCAGTCACTATTGTTTGCACACATAGCCCCTCTTCCTCTGCACAAAGAAATAACAAATCTTAGCTTTTCTGAAGGTTATGTCAAATTCAAAAATGTTCACAAAGCCCAAAAGGTTGGTGCTGTGCCAGTGGATCAACCTGATCATGACAGCCTTAATAATATGGACTATAGGCTTTTCAGAGGCAGGACTCTCTAAGAAGCTATCTGAATAGCATGCTGCCTAAGTGCACCTGTTTTAATGTTTTGGGGTCCTGTGTAAAAGTTTATTGGTAAGAACACCAAATTTCCTTTCGGTAACAAAGAGAGCTATCACTATAACAGACACAGGAAAAACTGCGTCAGCTGTGTCCAAGTATTAGCTTAAACTAATGATGTTGGGTAAGAGCTTCAATGCCCTTTAATGTAAGCTTAAATCTAAAAGAGACCTCAGGATTCACACTAAAATGTTGAAATTAAGCTTATTTACATTGCCTAGAGTTTTGGGATAGGTGCCTTATCTATGTATGAATTCACAAATCTGTTCTTCATTTAAACTTACTTAATGCTTAATTAAAAAAAAAAAGTTTAAAAACTCCCTAGTCAACCAACATGCTCAACATCACTGGTGTAAAAGAACAGGTTTGCAGCAGACCTCAGTAAGTCAATACATCCAGGTTGTTTTGACCTATGGAGGAGGCATGATTTATAATGTTGGGATCCTTATTGAGATTGCTTATGCTCCAGACCAAAAAATAAATAAAAGATAAGGAAAGTCTATCCAGAAGATATTAAATGCTAACAGAGAATGCAAAGAAATCTCTAAGTACCTGCCAATCCAAACTGGTTTTACAAAGATAAAATGCTACATGCCCCTGAAACCAATGCACTGCTTGAAAACTTGTAGAAAGCTCATGTTGACAAACCTTAGTAAGACTGGGTGTGTCCTTTAAAATCAAATGTTTTTCATTTCTTGCTTTCAGCAGTAGGAAATCTGACTTGTTCTATGAAATTCATAGCTAAAATACTCTTTTCTGGGAAGCTTTTAAACATTAATAGTCAGGACTTGGAACAATGTTAAGTCTTACCTTGTCTACAATTCTCCCAGTGACTCCCATGCCATTAAGGATAGTAACATTAACAATGGTTGGCATCCCTCCATAATATATGGGCTGAGAACAATAGGGCCACATGTAGGGACATTCTGTCAAGTCAATATAGCTTGGACTCAAACTACAGCAGGATGGAGGAGGTAAAATTGAAAAAAAATAAATAAATCAATAAACAGAAGAACATGCCACTATACACAACTCAACAAAATTACAGATAAAACGTGCCAGTCATGGTTACTCTATCAAGCTCTTACTTCCCAAATCTCCCCCAAAATCTTCTTCCCTTCCCCTCCAGTTTTTTTTTTTTTAATTTTAAGTTTTCACTTAAAATTTAAAGATTTTCGCACACAAAAAAACACTTTTCAACACAGTGAGACTGGTCTTAATCTCTAAAGTTAGAAATTAAGTACTTTTCTATTGTGTTCCAAGTTACACTATTCATAACATCTGAGGCTAGAAGA